ATATTAATTATACAATCTGCAAGTGAGCAAAGAAATGGTTTCACTCGCAAAATAATGTTCAATGTTAATAATCATCAACACTTTTTGAATGATTTCGGTAATAGTCAATGGTCTGAAGTATACGACTTTGGAGTTGAGTCATTAATTTTCAGATAATGATTGTAGAAGGAAGATAAACCAAAATATGTGCGTAAAAATTAAAAAAAATTAAAAAAAAATGTTACCTTGTTTTATAAAGTATCCTCCCGACAAGTATTTCATTGCGGACCTGTATTTGATCGTGCGGTCTTGGAGCACCGGCATGCGCTCCCCTGTGAGGTCTTAAGTCACCTGATTCACGAGCCCTTTGTACTACATTAACAAAGGCACGAGGGGGTGGTTGCACTCGATTGGGAAACCGATCCGCATAAATTCGTGATGCCGCGACAGCATTTTGTAAAGACCCCCCCGTAAATAAGAATCATGTCCACAAGTTCAGCATTTTCGTAAACATGTGCCATTTTTTATTTCGTTTGAGCCACGCGTTACCGACTGACACATTGACTGAATACAACTGAATAAAATTGTAGTAAAAACATCGTGATAATCGTTTCAAATTCTTTCCCTTTTTTGTTTCCGATGTTTGCGATGAACCGATAAGGCGGATTATATCCGTTGTTGCCAAACACGAGCACATAATATTATTATTGAGACAGGGCGGTACTCAAACTTCTAAAGGGCTATAACTTTGTTACTTTAATTTTACCAGAAAAATGTTAAAGGAAAAAAACATTGCTTTTGATCAGATCTACTCACTGTTAAAATAAATGACTCAACTTCGAAGTCACCTTGTATAATAAGAACTATAATGAGCTGAATGCTCAATGGAAACACTTCAGCTCTATATTTCTCTCAATATTCGATCAGAATTTTCCGATAAAGAATAGAAAGGAACACTAACACAAAGGGTAAAAAACATGATAATGATGTAGAAGTAACACAGTGTAAGAAATAGTTAGATATTTTATATACAGTTATAAGGCGTGTTCTTTTATTCCATCGATGAATGAGTGCTAGATAACTTGGTGAGTTGTCGCGATGTCAACCTTGAATTTTGGATAGAACCTCGATTGAATTTAAGAACGCGTTGGACAGATTTGAAATATGAGACTTATTTCGTTTTGTGTTTGAAATAACCTATAACTGCCAACTTGACAGACTGAAGGAGATTCTTCTTTCTTCTGAAAATCAAATTCCTATTATGATAGGAAGGGTAACCATTCCTTGATCTTACAAAGAATCTGCGATTCACATCTAAAATTTATCAATGTCTCATGTGGATGGCCAGGGAGCTTCCATGATGCACGAGTGTGGAAGGAGTCCCAAATGTATAATAAGCTTACTGAGGACTCAGATAATTGGTCAAAAGGATCATACTTAATAGGAGATTCAGCTTATCCGCTGATGGTATCTTATCTAGTCAACAAAGAATAACACAAAGCTGAGTAGTTCTCGAGTGCTTATTGAGCACACATTTGGCAGATTTAAAGGATTATTTAGACAGTTGAAATACCTTAATGTTGTAAAAATCAACTATGCTAAGTACATCATACTGAGTTGCTGCATCATACATAATATTGCGATTGATGATAACACTGTTTGGGAAATGGAAGATGCAGATACGCCCTATGACAGTGGTAATGACAATTCAGATGATGCTGTTCCAATCCCATCTGAGCTAAGAAATAGTATAATGCAAAGAATTTGTTGATGCAATTCTCCACTGCTCATTGAATTATAATTGTTAGCAAAAAAAAATTATCTATTGCTTGCTTGCTGTTTTGAGCCATGTATGTATATATATATATATATAATACAATAAACAAGTAATATAATTTTAATATAAACCAAGTAGGATATGATTATGTGATGCTAAAAGAGCATGCTGTTTTAAACCTTAGCTCCAAAATTGTATATTTATTCAAATACCTATACTGTGGTTCAACTTATACATCTTTAATGTTGTAATGACATTTTTGCTACAATGTTAAAGTGGGGAAAGCTCATTGGAAAGAGGTTCAACAACAGGATAAAATTAGCAGTGTCAATGGAACAACCTTTAACCTTAAAACAATAAACAAACTTAACTCAAATCTCAAAACATCAGAATAACAAAAACATGTAACAAGCAACTTCAGTTTTAAAAAATAAATTATAATATCGAGGTATTCCGCGAATTGCCACTTATAGCATTCGCTAACGCATGTATGGCCTCAATTTCCTTTTCTCTTATTTTTTTTTCTGCTCCCATCTTAGCTCATCCCTCTCAGCTTTCTCCTTCTCCCGTTTTTCTTCTCTTTTGAGCTTTTCATATAAATATCCCCGAAAATATATATTTCTTTTATTAATCAGCCTTTTAGCACACCTACTAGTAGAGGGGCTATTAGTGGATGGTGTTGAAGTAATATCGGTCTCAACACTACTTTCATCCAAACTGTCCCCTATATTTGTAAGAGGCATTTCACTGGAGGCCTTGCTGCCCAGTACCTCGTCAAACATTTTGAAATATTCCCATTTTATGGCTCCTTCTCCTGTACTTGCTTGTTTTTTTTTTGTTGGCTCTGTATGTAACCAACAAGTTTCTATATTTGCTGTCACACATTTCAGCTCGGTCCTTGGACCTATCCTTTACTCACTGTACATCCATGACGTCCCTAGTCCCAGCAACTGTGAAGTCTATCTCTATGCTGACGATACTGCATTGGTGGCTCAGTCGTGGTCTGGTGACCTAGTCCATGACAGGCTGTAAAGTGCGGTGGAAGAAGTATTAGATTGGGCGGATCGGTGGCTAATTAAAATAAACCATTCGAAAACGCAGGCAATCTACTGTACAAAAAGACGTCGCGGCGTTCCGTCTGAAGTTTCAATGAATGGACTTCGTATACCATGGGAATCCTCCGCTAAGTATCTCGGTGTCATTCTGATTCTGGACAAAGGGATGACTTGGCGGAACCATATGGAAGCGTTAAAAACTAAATTCCAAATTACGTTTCGGCAGCTTTACCCATTATTATGTAAACGGTCAAAATTAAGTTTGATTAACAAGATTCGACTCTATAAGGTGGTCATAAGACCAGCAATGACTTACGCATGTGCGGCTTGGTGTTTTATTGCTAAAACACACATGCGAAATCTGCAGATTCTGCAAAGTAGGACGTTGCGCACTATTGCTGATGCCCCATGGTATGTCTCTAACGCAACTCTACATAGAGACCTCGATGTCCCTTACATAAAGGACTACATTAAGCAACAGGCGCAGCGGCGCTATAACCCAGCGGAATCGCACAGCAACCCTCTGTTGCGTGAGTCAGTGGACTACACAGTCGAGCAAGTTCGCAAGCACAAAAGGCCGCGGCTCGCACTGTAATCAAAATTAACTCGTGACCTTAGAACAACCAAAATTGGAGTATTTTTACACAATCTTTAGAAAAAATCGAATATTTTTAGACCATATCAAAATCTGTGAAGCAATTTTAACAATGCCTAAACGCTGCCTATCGTAAAAGATTCTCTTCTTCCCCTTTGCTCTCGTTTTTCCTTCTCTCCTTTCCTTCCCCTTTTTTCCTTAAAATTGTCTGGTTTCTGGGTTACCAGACCTGACAGACTTACAAACTGACACTGTGACTCAAGAGCTAAGGTCCCACGGACCGCTCTGACAACCAACGATGACTTGGACATTTCAGCTGTGACATTGCATCCAAAGTTTTTGTTAATTTCCTCGGCAACAAGCTTCCAGAGTTTTATTTTTTTGCACTTTGGTTTTACAAACTCGAATTTCTAAAAGGCATTTTGTATGATTCTCAGTCCACTTAAATTCGGTGCTTTCAATAGTGCCCTTATTGCTTTTGGCACTTACACATTCAGTAGTGCTCTCATTGCTTTTGGCACTTTCAAAAACTTGTTTTGCATAGGCATCCAATGCATTACAATCTGGAACAATTAATACTGAAAAATAAATGTGGACAGAGAAAATCAAATTGCTATTTTGACTTTATTCAACAGTATTTGGAAATCATAAGGTCTATTTCGGACCGGTCTATTTGCTTGGGAATATTCATGCAATTATTACAATAATCAGTCACACAAAGCAAACAAGGCTCATTGCCTTTGAAGGTGAACACGAGCATTGGAATACAATAATCCTTAATACCGATGATATATTGATATTGTTATTAATAGTTTATACTATAATCAACACATATTCATTGAGTTAATGGCTAAGATTTTCTTACCTTTCGTCACTTCATTATATGTGTTTTCATCAACATAGACTTGGAGTTGATTGTCTCCATATGACAAATGTAGAGGATAAAGGTCTGAAATTTTTTTATACTTTTAAAATGCCTATTCTGTCATAAGACTTATAAGTACGCCGGCCAACAAAAAAATCACAGGACAAACATTTACATAACCTCTAACATTGACAGCCCCACTGTCATTCGTACAATTCAACGTATTCATCGGAGATCAAAGCTGATGAATCTGATGGATTGTCGCTGTACCTATCGATGGAAAAAATAACAATATGATGTTTAATCGAATATTCAACGTTTGAATTTAAGAACGCTCTGATGGATTCCAGCTTGACGCCCAAAGTCATCGATGGAATAAAAGAACACGCCTTTAGCTTATTTTTTTTTGGTTGACACTATTTGTATCACGAGTGGTTTACAGCTGTTGTTTAGCATTTGTATTTGCAAATAAACATTGTTATTGTTATTGTTAAGCTAGAAGGTTCCTCGTTGCCCGGTGCCGGAAACCATACTGCCTGTCGCTGATTAAACTGTGATACTAGGCTGATTCGGCTTTCAGAACGCCTTTTTTCTCTTCCTTTTCTCCTTTCTAATTGCACAAGTTTCGAAACTGCAGTTTGATACCTTGAATGAAACTCTGGCTAGTTTTTCAATTGTATTTATGTGTTACTTGAAGATACCGTTCGATAAAAAAATGATTGATTTCAGATAGCTCGAACTCCATGGAAGAAGATCTTCACATCCAAGCCCGTCTGGAGCATTTTGTTGACACAGAGCGGACAGAACTGGGGATTTTGGTTACTGCTTACGGAAATACCTAACTACATGAGTAACATTATGAATTTCAACATCAAATCTGTGAGTATTAAGGTGCCCACAAATTAGCAACCATGTGCGTCATACATGTATGTCAACCACGTTTGCGCGTTGATGGTTGCCGGTGTATGGTGCAAAAGCCACGAGCATGTGCGTCGTACAAGTTTTCCAGACTAGTCGGAATTCATCAACGCGCAAACATGAATTTGCAAACAAGATTGTCGGTGTGTGTCTTCTTCACGCATGCATTTTGGGTACAGTGTCTCGCGTGTTTATTATCAGTTTGTCGTCGCTTTTGACAATGTCTGATGTAAGACACTTTACAAAAGCCTTTTTGGCGGATTTTATTGAACTTTACAAAGGTTATCCTTGTTTATGGAAAACTAAAAGTGATGATTACAAGGATCGAAATAAGAAAGATGCTGCTTATTTAGTTTTATTGAAAAAGTTACAAGAAATTGAGCCAAATAGTACAAAACAGTGTGTGAAAGCTAAAATAAATAGCATCCACGGTAGCTTTAGAAGAGAAATGAAGAAAATAGAACATTCAAAACGGTCAGGCAGAGGGTCAGATGAAATATACAACACACATTTATGGTATTATGATTTATTGCTATTTACAAAAGATCAAGAAATGCCTCGAGAATCGGTCAGCAATTTGGTTGAGAATCAGGAAGGTGAAAGCGAACAAGATGCTAATAATGAAGATGAGGTAAGAAAAGTACAATCTAGTTATTGCAATACAAATTTATTTGTTAAAAATACTATTTACTACGTTACATGGAATTAATACACCATCTTTCGTTGCTATTCCACTGCGTCCTCGTTATTAAAATAATGCATGTACAACTCTCTGACTTGTTTTGCCTCGTTGTTGACTCTTTGGTTGAGACTTTGTTGTAAACGAATTAAATTAGTTGGTTGTTCATCCAGTTCAATAGTGCCGGTACTTGTATTTTCTGTGTACATATTATTATGTGGTGCATATACAGTCGCACATCTTCTGCTTAAGTAGTTATGCAAAACACAGGTTGCCATAACAATGCTATCAATTGCTTCTAAATTAACAGAAATTGCTGTGTGAAATATTCTAAATCGATTAGACAATATTCCAAACGCATTCTCAACTTTACTTCTAGCCCGCGATAGACGATAATTGAAAATTTTTTTTTTCGTTATTCAAATCTCTGCGACTGAATGGCTTCAAAAGATTTTGTCGAAGGGTGAACGCTTCATCGAAAACAAAAACGAAAGCCAACAGTTGGGTTATTAGTTTTGTATTAGAAAAAAACGAGTATTACTTCATTGTGGTTTTTATCACATCAGTTTAGTTTGAATTCATTAGTTCAGGTTCTAGGTTTTGTCATGATTTTTGTTTTAGGTTTTCGTGTTTTCTTATTATTAAAGTTTTGCTGACTATTTTTTTTATGTTAAAGTAAACATTGTATATTATACTCATAATAATAAATGCAATATACTAAAAACATGCACATATTTTTCTTACCTTCATATACTCGTTTTTCAATACCTCAAATATTGCTCGACAGGTCTCCGGTATTATTTTACCTAACGACTGAGGAGAAATTAAAGTTGAAAACTTTAAATCTTCGTAATTTCTTCCTGTTGCTAAATAGCGAAGAGTGGCTGTTAATCGCTCATGTGGCGAAATTGAAGACCTCAAAATCGTGTCCTGTTTTACAATTAATGGAGACACTAAGGTTAGTAGCGTTGAGTAGCTTTCTTCATCCATCCTCAGGTAATTTCGCCAATCGTCAGGTTCTAAACGTAGTTCTTCTAGCAGACTAATATGGGTATATTGTGGGCGTTTTAAAAGCCATTCCTTTACCCATTTCTTCCGGATAGGTGGCTTTTTAACTAATCTATTTGTTTTCTTTTTAATTAAAGCAGCGTACGCCGCTGCCAATAGAATGTACTCGTCTTCACTGCTCATTATGCACTTTCAAACTAACTTGTATGCAGGTCTGGGCTCAAAATCTATTGACATACATGTATGTCACACATGTATGAAAAAAGTGTATGACGCACATGGTTGCTAATTTGTGGGCACCTTTAAACTCCAATCGTGTCAGTCAAAATTTCAATGCAGCATAATTTTATAATTAATATTTTTGCCACTTTCAGAATAGCGTGTTGTCTGCTTTACCATACCTTGTGCTGTGGTTACTAAGCTTTGTATTCAGTTATGTAGCAGATCTATTGATAAATAAGAGCATCTTGAATATAGGAGCAACACGGAAATTGTTCAACTCCATAGGTAAGACATTTTATTACTTTTCAGTTACTACACTGGTTACCCTAAGACAATTCTCCTTCACATAAAATAACAGATCAGAACCACATACATAGTAGACTTCAATGTTAGAATTTTAGACGTTATTAGAAATCACAATCTTTTTTTCAGGTTTGATAGTTCCTGCGATAGCTTTAGTCTTGCTGGGTAACTCAGATTACCATGATGCTGACAAAGCTGTAGCTCTATTGGTGATAGCAGTAGGAGCTAACTCAGCTGTGTTATGTGGTTATCATGTGAACCATATAGATATATCTCCAAATCATTCGGGTACCATCATGGGTATTACGAATGGCTCCTCGAATATATTTGGGATTATTGCACCACTGTTTGTTCAATTTATAGTTACAAACGAGGTAAATATAAAGCTTTTACAACGCTGTGTTGACTCTCTAGTATTTCGTACAGGGTGTTTTCAAAGTTGAGTCATTTATTTTAACCGCCTGTAGGACTTGTCAAAAATCACCTATATAAAAGTTGCATCATAAGGAAATAGTAAAAGATGAGATTTTTTGATATTCTCGACGACTGCCGTGTGAAATCTTAGCGTTTTTTACATCAGTGTATCAGTCTTCTAATAGTGCGTATACGTTCAGTTGCCTAATTATTTTGTGTGAAAAAATGGCCCTTGCTTACGAAAACAATGAACTAGTGGAGATGATCAAGTCATCGTTGGTTGTCAGAGCGGTCCGTGGGACCTTTGCTCTTGAGTCACAGTGTCAGTTTGTAAGTCTGTCAGGTCTGGTAACCCAGAAACCAGACAATTTTAAGGAAAAAAGGGGAAGGAAAGGAGAGAAGGAAGAACGCGAGCAAAGGGGAAGAAGAGAATCTTTTAGGATAGGCAGCGTTTAGGCATTGTTAAAATTACTTCACAGATTTTGATATGGTTTGAAAATATTTGATTTTTTTTTTCTAAAGATTGTGTAAAAGTGCTCCAATTTTGGTTGTTCTAAGTTCACGAGTTAATTTTGATTACAGTGCGAGCCGCGGCCTTTTGTGCTTTCGAACTTGCTCGACTGTGTAGTCCACTGACTCACGCAACAGAGGGTTGCTGTGCGATTCCGCTAGGCTATAGCGCCGCTGCGCTTGTTGCTTAATGTAGTCCTTTAGGTAAGGGACATCGAGGTCTCTATGTAGAGTTTCGTTAGAGACATACCATGGGGCATCAGCAATAGTGCGCAACGGCCTGCTTTGCAGAACCTGCAGATTTCGCATGTGTGTTTTAGCAATAAAACACCAAGCCGCACATGCGTAAGTCATTGCTGGTCTTATGACCACCTTATAGAGTCGAATCTTGTTCATCAAACTTAATTTTGACCGTTTACATAATAATGGGTAAAGCTGCCGAAACGTAATTTGGAATTTAGTTTTTAGCGCTTCCATATGGTTCCGCCAAGTCATCCCTTTGTCCAGAATAGTCCATTCATTGAAACTTCAGACGGAACGCCGCGACGTCTTTTTGTACAGTAGATTGCCTGCGTTTTCGAATGGTTTATTTTAATTAGCCACCGATCCGCCCAATCTAATACTTCCTCCACCGCACTTTGCAGCCTGTCATGGACTAGGTCACCAGACCACGACTGAGCCACCAATGCAGTATCGTCAGCATAGAGATAGACTTCACAGTTGCTGGGACTAGGGACGTCATGGATGTACAGTGAGTAAAGGATAGGTCCAAAGACCGAACCCTGAGGGACGCCGGCTGTAATCAGCCGTGTTGTCGACAGGACGTTGTCAATTTTGATCCGAAATTTCCTACCTTTAAGGAAGGATTTCAGTAGTTTTAGAAGCCAAAAAGGGAAGCCCTTTTGGATTAGTTTATACAAGAGGCCCGCCTGCCACACCTTGTCAAATGCTTTTGAGACATCCAAAAGCAAGATGCCAGTACTTTCGTTAAGGGTGAATCCTCTGGTTACACGTTCCACCAGCCTAACCGCCTGTAGCTCCGTACTATGTTCAGACCGAAAACCGAATTGCACGTCAGGAATCACATGGTGATCTGACGAGAAATTCTCAAGGTGACATAGAATCACCTTTTCAGCGAGCTTAGACGCAGCTGACAGCAGGCTAATGGGACGATAATCCTGGGGAAATATCGAACCCACCTTCTTTGGAATCATTATAACTTCAGCGGTCTTCCACGCGGATGGGAAGTACTGGATCCTGAGCATGGCATTGACTATTGCCACGAGATAAGTTAAGGACTTCCGCGAAAGCAGCTTCAGCGCCTTATTAGTGCTTTACGCACTTTAAGGTCTTTAATATGACCTTGAATCTCTGCTGGTGTGCAATGCGGGATCTCAGGAGATACCGCTGATGTGCTAAGCAAATCTTCGGTTGAAGAAGCTTCTGAAGAAGAATCTTCTGATGAAGAAAAATCACCAACGAATGCGCGACTGTCACTGACGCCGTTGGTCCTAAAATATCTCCTGACAGATCTTACGATGTGTTGCTCCTCGTCGAGGTCATTATCAAGATCATAGTTGGGAGAGAACTGTCTTTCCATGGCATCGGCGAAAACCTCAACCTTCTCCTCTGTCCTGAAGACAATGCCTCCAGGACCGTGAATGTGTGGGATTTGTTCACGCTTTCCGTTTTTGAGCGACTTCGCCACCTTCCAGAGAGGAATGCTTCAGTCAAGCATCCCCGCCAGAAAGTCGTTCCATTGCTCATTGCGGAATTCATGAAGAGCATTTCTTACTTCATGAACAAGATTCGTCGCTCTGCGAATGTCATCAGGATGACAAGACCTTTTCGCTTGCTTAATTGCAGTTCTTTTATCAGAAATTTTCTGACGAATGTCTGCTGGCAAAAAAGGTCTGCCGTGTCGCTGCACGGGAAGTACAGCTGCACGCTGCAGAGTTTGCTGAACAAAACTTGTCCACTCTGCTTGAGCCGCATCTATGCCGTTCTCATCATCTATGATCGGTATATTGGGGAACTCTTTGAGGAGCGACTTGTATAGCTCCCAATCAATGCGTTTCCTTGGAGGGATTTCATCCCCCAAGGTCTGCTCATTAGCCACTTCCAAAACGACGGGAAGATGATCGCTTGAGATGTCATACATGATTCGAGGAGTGATACTGTAGCTACAGTTTTTGGATAATGCCAAATCAAGAACGTCAGGTGCCTGAAGGTGATTAAATGGGTGGTGCGTCGGCTCCTCAGTACTATGTATGAGGTAGCCATTTCGTATCACATGGTTGTACAGTCGGATCCCACTGGTGGAATTCAACCTGGAATGCCATGCTCGATGTTTGCAGTTGAAGTCCCCTGCCACAATAAGTGGACCCGAGTAGTCTAAAAGGACTTCCAGATCCGCCTCTTGCAGCCTGTTACCACACCTGACATACACCGATGTGATTTTTAACGGCACACCTCCCGCCATATTGACCACCACGGAAGCCGCTTCGATGCTCTGCATGTCAGCGTTTGTGCTTCTGTGGTAGTCAATACCGCGTTTCACTAGCACTGCCAAGCCGCCACCCCGTCCAGTCAATCTATCAGCCCGGATAACATCGTAATTCGGGAAAGCTAGACGATCTCCCGGATTAAGTAATGTTTCCTGCAGCAAGGCCATGTCTATACTTTCGCCTGCAAAGCCTGTGTTGCGCTAATCAGAGGACCTAGAATCTGCTGTAAGGACCTTAGCGCGGTTGCCAGGTCCACATTTTGCGTGTTCGCAGAAGATCCCACAGAGGGGGCAGCCCGGGTTGCATCCCTAGCTGCATCCGCGTAACTTACATTGCGCCTTTGCGCTATCACTTGCAGATTTTCCTTAGGGGCAAATCTGCAAGTTCGGCTATTCGCTGGATGCCCCCCTCCACAGTTCGCGCACTTTCGTTCCTCTTGTTCTGTTTGAGGGCATAAGTGGGTCATGTGGTCAGAAGCACATTTTAGACATTTAGGTGGTGCAGTGCATTAAGATTGCGCATGCCCATATTTTTGGCAGCGGTGACACTGCCCGATGAGTCTTGAGTTCTTTTGAACTTCGACTCGGATAGCCAAACCTAGCAGCTCGTGTTCGTTGAACAGCTGCTGAGATTTTTCTATCTTGGGCAGTATGACTACCACCAAAGGCATGGGCACGCCGCCACCGCGTTTCAGGCGAATTATGTGCAGGGGGGAATATCCCCTCTGTTGCAACTCTTCCTTGATCTCAATTTCCGAAAGTTTCGCATGTACTCCTCTGATTACAGCATGAATGTTCCTCTCCGAGGGTAGAGGGAAAAGTGTGATGGGGCACCTCTTCCTCCCTGAAGAGACGAATAATCCTGCGGTAATCATCCTCGGACTTGGGAATTATCCTGATTCCTGCATCGACGGCAACCGCGCGTTCGAATTTGATGCCCAAAGAAATAAACTTGTGATTTACGCCTCGCCATCTCGAAGCATCGCGAAGAACGATGGGGGTTACACGTACCTTGCGTGGGGGATGTGCAGTCGTGTCTTCTGGTACCTGAGATGTCGAAGGCGTGGAAGTAACCGATAGATTAGGAACAGGCTGTTTATTCGAGTCGCTTGCAGTTGAATGAGACGTTTCAGACTGCGATTTTGGTGGAGGGAGAGGAGGAAAGCCTGTCGTGTCGGTCTTGTTTCGTCGCGTTTTACGGGGCTTAACCTTGGTAAAACCGTCAGGGAGGGTATCGTCGTCTGTGGAAAGATCGCTTGAATTATTTAACGGTCTTAAGATTGACAGCTTTGTCTTTACTGGGATTTTTGGGAACTGTTTGAGAAGAATGTGTAATATTTAGATGGGAAGGTACCTGGGTTTTCAGTAGGAGGTCTAATTTAACTGTTAGGTCGGTAATTGTCCGCTGCTGGGCTTCGTTGATCATCATCAATCTTTCAATGGTCTTCTTATCATCGTCCTTTTTTGACAGCTCCTGTCGAACCATCTCCAATTCGGCTCTCAACTCCTCTATGGTCTGCTCCTTCGACTCCATCTCCATTGCCATGGTGGAAGCGCCATTTCCTGACCCCCCTGGGTCAGTTTCCTTAGTAAATACCTCGGTTATCTCGCTTTTCGTCTAAAAAATTTTCCGGATCGAAATTACGGGACAGCTGCTATCAGTGCCCTACACAGGGCGATTTGGACATGATACTAACTAACATACGGAGAGTGCCAACAAAATGCAGCCGCAGCATGCAGGTTGTATGTGGAAAGGTTTCCTTTAAGAAATCATCCGGCCCCGTGGATGTTTGTAGATTTAGTTATTAGATTGCGTGACAAAGGGTATTTAAAATAACAACAAGGAGATAACGCTGGAAGAGCTGCTCAACATGAAATGTTACAAATTGAGGAAGACATCTTAGAAATGGTGGAAGACGACCCAACAATGAGTACTAGAACCATAGCAGCTCATGTTGAAGTTTCTCTATAAGCGTTACAACCTGAAGATCATCCTAGGATAGTTACATTTTTCCAGTTTCTTTTAGAACAGTTCAGCTGAAATGAATATTTCACGGAATTAATTTTGTGTACAGACGAGGCAACATTTACACGAAATGGAGTGCACAATTTCCACAACAATCATGCTTGGGCAGTAGGTAATCCACATGCTGTAAAAAGAACTCATTTTCAACATAGATTTTCATTAAGTGTTTGGGCTGGTGTGGTAAATGGCATGCTTATTGGACCCTACTTTTTTCTACCTCGACTGACAGGTGAAATTTATTTAGATTTTCATCCACACAATCTGTCACAATTATTAGATGTTCGTCTAAATGTGAGACAGAATATGGTGTTCCTACATCATGGGGCACCACCTCATTTTAGACGAAAAGTTCATGAACACCTAAGTAATGAGTTTCCGAATAGACGGATAAGGTGCAATGAGCCCACTTATTGGCCAGCTCGCTCCCCCGATTTAGCACCTTGCGATTTTTTTCTGTGAGGCTATTTGAAAGACTTGGTGCATCATGATGGAGCAGTAAATGCTCTGGAAGAACTCCAACAGCGCACTGAAAATGCTTGTGATTTAATTCATGGACACCAGGATTTTATTTTCGAAGCTTGTAAAGAGACGTGGATTCGCCGAGCAAGATTTTGCGTTAATCGAACAAATGGGGACAATTTTTAACAGCTTTTGTAAAAACAGTATCCATTAATCTTGATAATATTTCTTTTAAATAATTTTAAATAATGCAAACTAACTCTCGTATTAAGCAACTTTTATATAGGTGATTTTTGGTATATCAACTTCTTTTGAGGAGTTCTAAGAGCTATTAAAATAAATGACTTAACTTTCAAAATACCCTGTACATTTCCTGTTTAATTTGCAAGAGCAAATGACATTTCAATTACGGCATCATACGTATGTCAATATTTAAGCACTACCTCCAAAGTTTGAAGAAGACGAAACTTTTCAGTAGCGTAAAATTTTGAATAGCGGATTTGCGTTTTCAAAACTATTCAACAAATCTACGAGGGACACTAGAACAGAAATCTACGCAGCCATGAAAAAAAAAAACGATAGAAAGGGACAAGCATGTGTTCTAACCTAACTTGCAAAATTTGAGTTGATTAGTTTCAAATTTGTAAAATAAATTGTGAGGAAAAATGAGTAAATTAAAATAAGAGTATCGCAGTGTCATAACATTTCTGACATAAGAAGACCATCAGCCAAAAACAATTCTTGGGTAGTCTATAGGGATGACGCATTTTGATGAGGGCGTTAATCCATAGAAAACAATCTCGGAACTAAGAGACGCAAAATAGCAACAAATGATGAAATGACTCAAAAATGGCCATGGTTTTCCAAAATCGTCGTGTGGAGATCTCTACCATTAGTAAGGCATTTGAATATATCGGAACTCAGCTTAATAATAATGCACGACAAAATATATTTGTTTACCATATATTTAAATCAAAACAAATAATCGCAAACAAATTTGTAGAATATTTTTCGAATATATACTAAATGACATAAATCCGAACACCCAGTTTAAATGGTTTTATTTCAATAAAAGTTGGTGAATGTATTTATCTTACTGTAAATAACAAGTGAAAAAATTTTCAGCCTTATCAGTTGGACATTCCGGTTTTTATACTGCTTTTTTTTAATTCACTAACGCTCTAAAAATGAATATTTCAGCCGCAGTAAAGAATCAACGTTGGCGGATTTTGGTTCTTGACATCCTTTACGATCGGTTACGATGCCTAGAGTACGGAGACCTGTACGATATCGTCAACTTAGTGAGTTTGATAGGGGCCGTATAGTGGGACTTCGGGAAGCTGGACTTTCTTTTCGGGCAATTGCAGTTAGAGTGCAAAGAAGTGTAGACACTGTGGTTAGGTATTGTCAGGCATGACTTCGAGAAGGCCGTACGCAAAGAGCAAGGGGCACTGGACGCCGCCGTAGAACAACAGACCGTGAAGATCGCCGCCTAAGATTATTGGCCTTAAGGGACCGTTTTTCCTTTTCCTTAGAAGGCGACGTGGTGAAAGGAGGAATCCACAGTTTTTTGTTGAAAGACATGTTCATCACACTGTTGGAGTTATGGTTTGGGGTGCTATAGCTTATGGTTCCAGTTCACCTTTAATCTTCATCATAGGTAACATGAACGCGCAGCGTTATATCCACGAAGTTCTAGAACCCCATCTTTTACCCTATCTTGGCACCCTGGCAGATCCAACTTTCCAAGAAGATAATGCCACACGTTGCAAGAGTCACAATAGACTTCTTTCAACATAATGATGTCACATTGTTACCATGACCACCAAGATCTCCCGACTTATCCCCAATTGAGCACGTGTGGGATATGATGGGTAGGAGATTGCTCAATTTGCAAACTCCTCCTCAGACTCTAGAAGCACTTCGAGAGGAGTTGGTGGTTGCCTGGAATGAGATACCACAGGAGGACATTGACCACCTGATCAGAAGCATGCCTAGGCGCGTTGGAGGATGCGTAGCACATCAGGGTGCATCCACACATTATTAAACGTCAAAGAGCTTTAAAGCAGTGCAATCATTTTGAAATTTTTATCATTTACTTATTATGCTTCATTAAGTACTTATACAAAATTTTATTAAAATAAAACCATTTAAACTGGGTGTTCGGATTTATATGTCACTTAGTATAGATGGGACACTCAAGAATAACATTCAAAAAGTTAGTCTCAAAAATAGACACCAAATTCATTCTACTTACCAATGAGAACAAAATTATTGAAACTATATCAACCTTAAAAAGCAAAAAATCGCCAGGTTTTGACAATATAAGAGCAAAAACTCTAAAAATTATAGCTATCTATATAGCTCAACCTCTCACATTCATAATAAATTGGATTTTTGAAACTGGTGATTATCCCAATGGATTTAAAACAGCTTTAATTACATCAATACATAAAAGTGGAGATACATCAGAATTGAATAACTATAGACCAATTTCTGTTATAACAACTTTGGCAAATATATTTGAAAAGATCCTGAAAATACGACTAGATCAGTATATTCATAAATTCAAATTAATATCTGACTCAGAGTTTGGCTTTAGGAAAGGTGTATCTACCAAAGATGCCATGAAATTATTAGTAGGCGACTAATATTGATAACAACAATCCAACAATGACTATATTCATCGACCTACAAAAAGCTTTTGATACCATAGTTCACGAGAAACTATTGAATAAATTAGAACACAATGGAATTAGAGGTACACCACTTAAATTATTTCAAAATTATTTGCATAACAGAAAACATAAGGTTAAAATTGGAAATACAATTAGTAAAGAAATGACTGTAATGTATGGAGTTCCACGAGGAACCATACCTGCGCCCCTTCTTTTCAATATATATAAATTATGCAAGTCGTTGATATACAGGGTGGCCCATCCATGTGTGGACGGAATATTACTCATGAACAAATACATTTTGGGAAAATCTATTTATGGGATGTTATACACGACATTTGAGGGCACATTTCTAAAATATTGGCCATTATACAGCGTGTCCCAATGTCGACCTACATAGCAAAGTTGTGATCTTTCAAATTGAATGCCTCAAATTTTATTGCATATTTTAATAAACCAATTCAAAAGAAGAAAATTGATATAACATACGATTGGGTTTTGGTAATTAGCTACTGAGATATAAGGTGTTTTCTCTAGAAAAAACCCCCACTTCGGCAACCCCTCAGTCCGCTATTTTGGAATTTTTAGTACTCAATTTTGTATCAGAAAAAACCTACACACCTCATCTTTTATCTTATTTGTTACTTCTTCGAATTTTAATTTTTGCACATACAGGGTGGTCAAAATTAGTTTTGTGAGCATTATAATAAAAACGTGTTTAAAAATGAGTTTTTCTAAAGAAGAAATGGTGAGTATGGTGTTCGTTTTGGGCGAAGCCCAAAGAAATAGTTTCCTAGCATCTTGCATTTATAAGCAACGGTACCCTAATATACGACATCCAAGGCCGGAAACATTTTCCACACTACGAAAACGTTTTGAATCAACTGGAGCAGTGGAATATAGTAACAAATGTATAAATAATCCAAGTGCAACCAATGAGGCGAATCAGGAGGAAGTAGGCGAAGGAAAGCCCTTACTGGGTTAGGCAAATAGATTTCCAAAATAAATGGAGCTTGAATGTTTGGGGAGGAGTTATTGGCAGACAAGTTATCGGGCCTTTCTTTTTCGACAACTGATTGACAGGTACAGAATACTTGAATTTTTTGATCGAGCATTTGACTTTGCTTTCGGAGGACGTCAACCTGCAAATTCGGATGCATATGTTCTTCCAACATGACGGCGCACCTGCGCATTATCATAATCGTGTGCGTATCTATTTGGACACCTGGAGTAACAATCGTTGTATCGGTCGTGATGGGCCTATATCTTGGCCTCCTAATCACCAGATATGACACCGATCGACTTCTTTCTGAGGGGCTACGTTAAGAGGTTATAGATATCCACCATCTGCTCCGGAAAATATGAAGGAAAGGATTAAGGATG